ATGTTGACGATGATGATGATGGCGATGCTGATGATGATGCTGATGATGGTGGTGATGTTGATGCTACTGCTGCTGATGATGAGAAGGATGATGGTGATGATGCTGATGATGAGGTTGATGATGAGGATGATGATGATCCTGGTGGTGACGATTATGCTGATGATGTTGCTGCTACTGATGATGATGATGATGATGATGATGCTCATGCTGATGGTGGTGGTGGTGGTGGTGGTGGGAGTGATGATGATGGTGACGATGATGATGATGATGATGATGATGATGATGATGATGATGATGATGATGATGATGATGATGATAAGGATGAGGCGGATGATGATGAGGATGAGGATGCGGAGGATGCTGATAATGATGATGATGATGGTTGTGGTGGTGGTGGTGGTGGTGGTGGTGGTGGAAGTGGTGGTGATGATGATGATGGTGGTGATGATGATGATGATGATGATGATGCTGACGATGCTGACGATACTGATGATGATGACGACGATGATGATGATGATGGTGTTGGCTGTGATGATGATGGTGATGGTGGTGGTGGTGGTGGTGGCGGCGAACGATGGCGATGACGATGATGATGATGATGATGATGACGACCATGCTGGTGATGATGATCATTATGATGATGTTGGTGGTGCTGGTGATGATGATGCTGATAATGTTTAGGATGAGGATGAGGATGAAGATGATGCTGATTCTGTTGATGCTGAGAATGCTGATGATGATGATGATGGTGGTGGTGGTGGTGGTGGTAATGATGATGACGATGACGATGACGATCACGATGACGATGATGATGATGCTGATGATACTGATGTTGAGGATGATACTGATGCTGATGATGGTAATGAGGGTGATGATGACGATGATGATGATGCGCATGACGATGGTGATGATAATGATGGTGATGGTGATGATCATGCTGATGGTGATGATGATGGTGATGATGCCGATGGTGATGCTGATGATGATGAGGATGCTGATTTTGATGATGATGATGCTGGTGGTTATGCTCATGATGATGCTGATGATGGAGATGACGATGATGATGATGATGATGGTAATGGTGATCATGGTGCTGGTGATGATGGTGACGGTGATGCTGATGATGATGGTGATGATGATGATGGTGTTGGTGGTGATGATAATGATGATGAGGATGATGGGTGATGATGATGTTGATGATGTTGACACTGATGATGTCGAGAGGATGATGATGACGATGACGATGATGATGATGGTGATGATGATGAGGATGATGACGATGATGATGCTGCTGATGATGATGATGAAGATGATGATTCTGATGATGCTGATGATGATGCTGATGATGATGCTGATGCTGATCATGATGGTGATGGTGGTGATGGTTGGTGATGATGATGCTCCAGATGATGATGATGATGATGATGATGATGATGATGATGATGATGATGATGATGATGATGATGATGATGATGATGATGATGATGCTGATGCTGATGATGATGCTGATGCTGATGCTGATGCTGATGCTGATGCTGATGCTGATGCTGATGCTGATTCTGATGCTGATGACGACGATGACGACGATGACGACGACGGCGGCGGCGATGAGACAGACGAGGAGGACGAGGAGGAGGCGGAGAAGGAAGGAGCGAGGCAGAGATCCCAACAGAGCGTCGCGTCGGGTGCCGCCGTGCGGGCAGGCACCCGGCGGGCCAGCGGTGGATCCTCTCCTGGCCGCCCCCACCAGCCCGACCAGCAGGCGGCATCCCCTGGCCAGCGTGGCCCTGGCTGGTCAGGCGAGGTGGATCCCGGGAGGGAAACAACTTTTTTTCTGTCGCGGGCGGACGCGGATTCGCAGTCGCCGAGCTGAGAGGTCTGGGTCACGGGCCTGTCAAATTGGCCACGCGCAAGCCTAAAAGCACAGCGGCCGAGCCCGCACTCAGAAGCAGCCGCCGGTGGGGCCGCGGGCTGAAGGGGAGCTGGCTGAGCTGACTGCAAGGGAGGGAAAAAACACAGATACACAATTCATTGTCGATTCCCCAGAAAAGATGGAGAATAAAGGGAAGTGGGGGAGGAAGGCACAGACCCGGAAAATAGAGGGAAAGATGGGGAATCCTGTTACTTGGGTGTATTAATTTGTGTGTCTCAGGGCCCCTTCAGGATCCCTGGGTCACCCCGGACCTCAACGTATTCAACGAATGCTCAGGCTATCTGCTGTTATTGGACGTGTCCGTCGTCGGGTGTTCAGCCCCGAAGTGCTTTCCAACAGCCGCGTCTCGCCGAGCGAGTTCCCTGGCTGCCCGACTCTCCCAGACTGGTCGCTGGAGCTTGACTCTCACCGAATGCTCGCAAGAGGCCCGAGTTCTGGCCCGAGCGCCACGGATCCTTCCAGACACCCGACGTCTTGAAAACAGCAAGACTTCAGTCGGGCCTGTTTCCCTACAGGAGGAATGCTCAAAAGTATCAAAACAGTGGTCTGGGGACTATTTTTAAAGTATTGTTTGACCATTTAGGAGAATTTTTTGAGCATTAAAAAAAAATCGTCGAAGATCTCCCTGTAGGAGGACACGCCCGACTGAAAGGTAGGTGGTGGCTCATCTGGCTTGGTCTCTGGCGACAGAAGCCGAGGCAGACAGAAGAGCACAGTGCCGCTGCCATTTGAGGCCTAGCGAGCTTTGCCAGCGCGACCAGCCCCAGTGTGGCGACTACTGGGGATCCTACCGCACTGGGTTGAAAAACATTCATACTCACATCTGTTCCCGACGTCTTGAAAACAACAAGACGGAAGTGCTTCGTCTTTGTCGGCCTTCGGAGGAGGCCCTCGCTGGGCCCCAGGACGGTCAGAAAATGATTCCGACTGAAAACGCGGCCCCGGGGGAAGGGCCGGGTCATCCGTGGACCCCGTGTCGAACAATCAGCACATCGGATCTGGGAGACTGACAGGTCCAAGGGGGTCTCCATAAGGGGGGTCGCCAGCCCCTTCTGAGGATCGAGGTTCGAGGATCGATGGGGGTTTCCAGGGGGGTTGGGGTGTCCAGAGGGGTCCCTTGCTGACACCCTGAGGATCGGGGATCGGGGTTGGGGGGGAGGATGTGGGGGGGGCGGGGGGCGTGGGGTGGTGGTCGTTGTATGCCGTAACAGACACTAACCTTCGCCTTCTCCTGCTCTCCCGAGTTAGAGAGCTCATCCGCGCCTGCTTGGATCCACGGCACCGGCAGGAGACAGACGTCGACTCGTGGCTCCTGTTCTCGTTCGTACCGAAGGCCTTGGCCTTTTGAGCGCCTCGGAGGGGGGAAGGAAGGGGGGGAGGAGGGAGAGCGGGAGGACATTGCAGGACGATGAGCAATGGGAGGGGAAAAAGGCGGAACGGGCTGCACACTACCTCAAGGATCCCGCGAGCATGCGTGGAGGCTCTGGCAGCATTGTAGGAGACGGATCATTAGCAGGAGGGCTTGCCCGCCCCATTCTCAGTTCCTCAAGTTGCGGCCAGCACTGGCCGATGTTCCAGCTCGGTCTGCTTTTTTTGTTGTTGCGCGGATCCGCCTCGCAGTTCTGGCCTCAGCGCGCCCCAGGAGGGGTCTAGGGGTCGACTTGTAGAGGGGAGGATGACGAGGGCGAGGAGGAGGATGATGATGAGGAGGAGGAGGAGGAGGAGGAGGTCGTCGTCGAACGATGGCATGAGGGTCAACCCCGTGCTCAGATCGGCTAAACGTCCAGCTCCTGTTCCGTGGCAGGACGATGACGGCAAGCTGAGGCAGAAGAAGTGACCATCGGAGAAGAGTCGGCGTCACCCCAGCATACTCAATACTGTGTGTGCGTTGCCCCCTAGGGGGCGACGCGCGCAGCGAGACATCTTATAGCATACGCGTCGTGGCGGGCGCTTTCTGGCCACACCGCTCGGAAAGCGATGTGCAGCAGCACGGGTGTGCTGTATGCTCGGGTCGGGCGCGCGCGCATCCAGGGAGGACGTTCAGAGAGCGCCATGCCTCCTGATCCGAGGCCTCGAACATCGCAGGCCTAGAGATTAACACCAACACCAATTTCGGCGGTGTGCCTCCACCGAGAGAAGAAGATCCCGATCTCGGTGATGGTGGTAATATTCTGGCCTCTGGGGTGGCCGAAATATTACCACCAACACTGAAATCTAGGATCATCTTCCCACTGCGGAGGCACCCCCTGTGTTGGTGGTGGTGCCAATTTCCAGGCCTCCCAAAGAGAGCGCCGCGCCTCCTGATCCGAGGCCTCGAACAGGCCAGCCCTGCCCCCAGAGGGGCGGTTGGAAAACAAGGGGGCAGCGAGACGGGGCGGGCGCGCGCGGCGGCCTCGGCGGCGCAGGCGTGCTTGTCGTGCTGGCCTGCGCCGTGCGTGAGCGTGGCTCGCAGAGTGGTGGGCGTGTCTCGCGGCTGGGCGTAGGAGGAGGAGGAGGAGGAGGAGGAGGAGGCGGAGGAGGAGGAGGAAGAGGAGGAGGAGGAGGAGGAGCAGGAGGAGGAGGAGGAGGAGGCGGAGGCGGAGGCGGAGGCGGAGGCGGAGGCGGAGGCGGAGGCGGAGGCGGAGGCGGAGGAGGAGGAGGAGGAGGAGGAGGAGGAGGAGAAGAAGACGAAAACTAAGAATAATAGTAAGAAGAAGACGAATACTACTAATAATAAGAAGAAGAATAATAATACGAATAAGGAGAATAAGACGACGAATACGAATAATAATAATAATGATAAGAAGAATAAGAAGAACAATAACACGCAGAATACGAATACGAATAATAATACTACTAATAAAATATGAAGAATCATAATATAAATAACGATAATAATCATAAGAAGAAGAATATTAATAAGACGAAGACGAATAATACTACTAATAAGACGAATGCTAATGACAATACTGATAATAATAAGAAGAAGACTAATAATACTAATAATCATAAGACGATTACTATTAATACATAAGAAGAAGAATGCGAATACGCAGCAGCAGACGAATAATCAGACAAAGCATAAGAA